ATTCTTAGATATGTAACACTCTGGCTACAGTATCAGATTTTTTTCATAATTTTTTATCGGATAGAACAAAAGAAATGAAGCATGAAATGAAAATGATGTTTAGGTCGATAACTACCCTAATAATAGGAATAGAGGGCTAAAACTTTATCGAAATGGTTTTCCTCGTAAGTTCTTTCAATTGACGTATCACACGTTTCGTTTGGTTTAGGAGCACTTTTATCATGCTTATTCCGCTAGACTCTTTTTATAACATTTAAATATGTCACACTTTGTGAGAAAGATAGCTATAGATATGTTTGCATTCAATTTATTTTTAGTTATATATACTTATAGAATAAAATAATATTGTACAATAGTGCAGGTACTAACATGAAACTAGTCTGAATGTGATTCTTCTGATGTTGAACATAAATAGCAAAGTACGACGTTCATCAAATGCTGGATTGTAATTGATTGATCGCTGCATCGTTCCTTTTCGATTAGTTAGTTTGATTCTTCATTCTATGATTAGTTTGTTATTCTTTGGAGATAAAAAGATCGTAAGGCTTCGCTTCGCATGATCGCCAGTACCATGACGCGTAGTCCGTTTTTTTCTCTCGTGCACAATATTTTTCACACTTCTGAATATCAAACTTAAATGTGTATACGACAATAAATAATTTTTTGAGAAATTTTTACAGAAGGAAGATGATTCTAATTTAACATTTTTTGACTTGTGGGTTCGAGAACCCCCACCCCATCAGTTCTAGGGTTAATTGGCAAAGAAATGCACGAGACATTACCCGTGCTAAAATTAAGTTAAAAAAGAAATTTGGTTTTGAGATGTTCCCTTGTGACTTTACTCAGTATCTCCTGTTAACAGTGTCTAACATTAAATAAGAATTGTATTTACAAACATGACCTGCTTTCGTAAACATAGTTATTTTTCACATCATGTCAATGATCACGTTGACTGTATTCTCCCGCGTCCGCGACGAGACTCGCGGTATGGACCGTGGTCTAGCAAAGGTTGTAAATCTTTGTTAGTTAGTACCGCGCCGCGGCCTTAGGCGATTTCCTGGCGAATTGTTATAAAGGCCAGGATAGTTTTGATGGAAATTAGTTGACACTTGCACTATGGATATGTATAGGTGAACTTTATTGTTTAAAAGTGATATGAATGACGCGAATGAATGAAACCAGTCTGGTCGGTAGACTACTCCAGACCTCTTGGTTATATGGTGTTCTGATACTCCTGGTGAGTACCTTCTGATGACTGATTGGTGACTGTCCCGGTTAGACTCTGAGTTTAGACTCTCCTGTTTGGACACTGAGGTTAGACTGTTCTTCTTGGCGATTGAATTTAGACTCTTTTCTTCAGAGTTTTCCCCCTTCTGGGAATGGTACTCCTTCACCGATTGGCTATCGGTAGGAGTATTTTTCCCTAATTGCCATCGACCTATCCGTGTGTCCGCGACACGCTCCGTGCGGACTAGGCGATGACAAGAGAGGGTGAAGGTCAGCAATGTTTAAACATTTGAATTTCCGCCAGGCTTGGGACTCGCCGTGTGCTCAGGTAGGGGCTGCCGGGCCTTTGTGCCAAAGTCCTTTAGGAACTCACGTTTTATGACACGTACAACTAGCTGTTGGGGTCGTAAACGACGTTTAGGAAAAAGAAACTATTCCTTAAGGGATTAATGAATAAAGAGACATTCTCAAAAACAGCGTTCTAGCTTGTATGTCATGAAATGCTGGATGGTTTCTTCCCTTGTCCAGATTGCTAGCCGCTATGGAACAAATGCTTAAACCGGATGAAAATAAAATCGGCTGGTTTTATAATAATATTCCGCGGGTGGTCCGCGGATCAGACTGAACGTGATTCCAAATACAAAATGATTTATTTGCGTATATCTCAGTAACTGTTAACCTTAGACCCTAGTTGGTATTATACCTTTTTGCACAGCGTTTGATACTTTATCGAAATTCCGGAAAAAATATTGGACATCTTATTTAAAAAACTGAAGATGACCATCATGTCTCGATAAAAATGTGAAATAGTAACAATCTATTGGTTCAAATGGCCTCCTTGATATCGTGCAGCTTTTCAGAATCAATCTTTTCTTTTGACATTTTGTTGGTGTCGTCAAAAGTAACCGGGGTATTGGAAATACTCAAGATAAATGTTGGACTACAAGATGTACCACCTAACACGCACAGCTTAAAGAAGCTCTTAATTGCGAGTTATTTCAAACACTGTACCGTGCGTTGCTGGAAATCTTTCTAGTCATCTACTAGTGGAACCGCACAGCGGCAAGAGGGATACTTCGCTTGCACCACCTAAGGCTGTGGTTATAGTGGATGCGTATTCGAACGAACTGGCATTCTGACTAACTCAATACGTCAAACAATCAAATATGTATACAGATTCGTATGAGTGTATGCATTGCAGTCTGCAGATGTTTCATTCGTCAGAACGCCAATTCGTCCGAATACGCATTCACTATACCCACAGCCTAATTCTTCAGTCACGCGATGCTATTCGATACGCCGATGTCTTCATGTCCAACCAATAATAACAATACGTGTACCCGACTTCTATTATTGTGTTACAGAAGGTGGATCTATGGTAGTGAGGTGAACCATTTGAGCTCGGTGTGTCAAAATTCGGGAAAAACCTAGCTTAACTCGGGTGCCGTGTCACATCTAGAAATATCCAATATTGTTGCGTGCATTACGACCTTGTACGACCACGGATTCGCTACGGTTCAGCTCCGAATTAACGATTCTGAACCTCGTTGATAGAAGATAGACACAGTTGTTTTTTGTGTGATGATTATTTGTGATCTGCTCGGTTTCGTCCGTAAACGATGCGTGTCACCGAAAATGTCTTAGCGTGTCACCTTTGACACGCGGGTCATAGGTCACTGACCTATGGAGACATAACCCAATCAGACCCGTATTCCTTCCGCTAGACATCTTTCCAGCAACGCACAGTACACGTTTTGAAAATGAATATCAGATAATATAACTACTTTCTCTGTAGGTAGAATCGATTTGCATATTTAAGCGCTAATTTCACTTTTCCTTTTTCTAAATAATATGAAAAAAATTGAGTTTTTAATAAAAGTGTATTAAAGTTGATTGAATTCAAATGTAAAAGAGAATCAGGTATTTTATGTTGCTTCTCCAACATTCGTTTCGCGTGTCATGGGAAAAATTGGAGAATGGAAATAACTAAAAACTTGACACAGTGATGTTTATTTAGCTAATGTTTTGTTTGATAAAATTACTTCATTGTAATTGTCCTACGTGTTCGCAATGTGAAAAAATGAGAATATTATTGGTCATGGGTTGGTAATTAGGACACGTCGTTACGTTCCTGCTAACATGTTCATGAAAATAGCTTTTGTTTTTTTTTTTACAATTATCACTTCTCTTCTTACATTGCCAAATAGACACTTCTGTGTTATTCAAGTTTCCGGTGATATTGACGTCGCGCGTAAAGCAAATTATTGAAGCATCAAAGCGAAACATCTAATTAAATCTTCTATAGTTTGAAACAAAAACTACATCACTCTGTTGAAAAATTTAGAATGTCCTTCGAATATCTGAATCATGTTCATCCAGAAAAAAGGACATACGAAACTTAATGCCCCTTTCGATACTATGTAACTATCGTTTATCAGAATTTTCCAAACAACATATAATATAAGCGTTAGTCATGATGAATAATATATTCAGTCGTTAGTACAGATTCCCAATAAATACCTATACATTGCGAAACATCTAAAGCAGGCCACTTGAATAAGTTGGCTGTTTTAAGTGATAGAAAAAAGACAAAATACATACTTCAGACAAATGTTGCTATTGGTATCAAGGAGAATATTGTCTGATATCAATGATGAAATATTTAGCAGCAGAGCAGAATGTAGTCTCGTCTTCCTCCTGCTATGGCGCTTACGCGGAATCTCAAGCGCGAAAGGATACAAATTATTTTCCGACATGGTTTTCAACGACTTTAAATCATTTCCAACCATTATGTCGTTGTACACACCGTAACCGTTTGAGTCCCAAGCAGCGCGATCGCGCTGTTTAGATTTTATGTCGAAAAGACCCAGTACATTTAAACGCTATGGACAACTGACGGTGCACTCACAGTCTGTCGAAATACCGCGCTCAATTTTTCTGACGCATGTACATCGCATCGCTGTTTTTTTATGTAAATAATACAAGTAATACATTTTGTATTTCGTTGTTACCTTTTCAATCATTTTTATTGAAAAAAACTTCAAAAATAATATTAACTAATAGTACATATACATAGCGATACAGACGACACAAAATAAGAAAAGCGTTATCGTGCCGCTTAGCTCTTTTCGCAATCAATTAAGACAAGAGCTATTGCGCTGTTCGGCATTTTTCGATAGTGTATTTTCAATGATCCCTGGGACTCGAACGGTTAAGGTACTCCATTAAATGTGAGAAAAAAGATGAGCCTCTACCGAGAGAGAAAAAGTATTGATATGGGATAACATCTCCTTTGATACTAATAAAAGCAGCATTTCAGTAAAGTATATTTTTCCATCACAGAATGATCGAGTTACTTAGGTACCCCACCCTGTATATTAAATTAAATAACTTGTATTAAATATCAGACACGTATTTAAACATGAAAAATAGGAAAAATGTTACAACTGTGTGCGATGCAATAGAAAAAAGTGAGTAAAACACGATAATGATAATTGTACTTGTGCTTTTATAAATATTAATGTATACAATTGTTATTTCTCTGAAGTACGATCTATTTTAAAAATTATACATATGCGCCATTGCAGTAAGTTTAATTTTACACAAAGTTATTATTGAAATAAATTATTGCAAAAAATTTCTCGTTAAAGATCTCAATTTGATTTATATTGTGTTAGGATAGGTTTTGAGTCTAATAACATATCATATACAAAATTTCGTTTAAGAATGTGTGTCAAATGATGATTACGATAAAAATTTCAAAGAACTTTTACCTCACTTATCGTTAAATGTACAATAAACATTTTTCCTTCATAGTTGATTTTCTGCACCTCCGGCCAGCGGAAATGGTGAGTCTTACGAGATCCTTGAAATGTTAGTATTCCACAGTGATTAATACCGAGATACAGTTGTGCACCCTTTTGGTCCTGAAATGAAAAAAAACAAGTGTTTTTATTGTATAATATGCTATTCACGTATTTCTCTTCTGATTTTAATAATCATTTTCAAATATTGGTTTATTAATTGTTTAATTATTGTCTCCATTTTTTGTATCAATTTACTTGCATAGTAATATACCAATATATTATTTGAACATGTCTTTTACGGAAAAAGTACAGCTATGGAGCCATCAACGTCAATTAAACTTTTTCTAGTAAACAAGAGAGATTCCATTTTGTTATATACAGGATGTCCCGTATAATTGCCACCACAAAATTTTAGGACTGTTCTTTTAATTTTGCACAGAAATGTTTTAAACAAAAATTGGTATATACGCACACATTTTTTGAGAAACACAATTCTTTTGTGTAGATTTTTTTAACAAATATATAGATGTTATAAAAAATGCAGATCCTCTTGAAGACATAAAATTTCTATTTCTTGCAGGGATAATATTAAAACAACTGACATTTTACCACACTGTCCGGATTCCGTATATTAAAGTTTCTTTATTTTTAATGGAGGTAACGTTGGTCGTACACTATAGACACACCATCGATTTTCCCCTAAATACAGCGGTTATAAAGATGAACGAGCTGGTCAAGGCATAAACTCACATGTGCTTATCCAACGATCCCCCAATTTGTTATTCAGAAATGTATGGAATTTACAGAAGGAAATACAAAAGAGCAAATCCCCGATTAGGACTCCTATAATGGTTTGTATAATTGAGAAATACAGGTCTTTTCGAGATGCGTATATATTTTGGTCGGTTTAAAGTAGTCTTTTTATATTTATAATCAAAAGGACTAAAAATGATCTTTGCAAATATGATTAACCACTTGCATCAGTCAAACGATTTTGTTAAAGGAGAGTACAGCAGCATAGGCAAATGTTCCGTCGCGCAGGTACGAAACACACGGGGTCTTCGTTGACCGGGTTTGTGACACGCTCGCAGCAGAAGATTACTTTTGAGAACAAAGACGCTTCGTAGCTACGCAAAAATATAAGTAATTTCTTGTAAACAATGGCTTTAGAATTTCTATCTTTCGGCGTCCTCAATAGCCAAAGACGTGTCATAAACCAGGTATTCCTGAAGGGTCAATCCACACGCGCGTCTAACGACACTTTCGGCCGAGGGTTGACCTGGCGGGAATTTCCGACGCGTTACCGAAGGACAGCGAAGATTCCACGTACCCGCAGGTATCACCCCATTCCTTCCAAGGAGAAGCGCGCTAAGGGCACAATGGAAGGGTGGGTGACACTTAAGGGGCACGTTGATTGGTAATTTGTGCGTACGTTTTACACTTGGCGAGGGAGTCACGGCGACATTCGCAAAGATTCTCTCGAGCGAACAACACACACTCTCCAGCCGTTCGAGGAGACATCACGTACATTTCGTGTCGCAATCGAACACTCGAGTCATTTCAAACAAGTCGTCAATCGTTTCGTGACGCACTCTACGTTTGCTAACGTTCCGAGTAAAACAAGATTTGAATCAGTTACCTAAGATTAATTCGGCGGGTAACAGTCGTGAACGCGAGCTTTTTGAACATTCATAAGATAGCGCGACCGCGACAGCAAATGTGTCGGCAATATTCAAATCGAGATTCAAACAGAAACTACTTTAGTCAAAGGAGATAAAGTAATTGTTTGATTTTTTACAAAAAATCGTATCCTGCTTCTGCATAAAGAACAGTTTTATCTTGCAAAAACAATGTAAATATCAGCATCGTAACAATGAAATATCGTTTAAAGCAACAAGGCATCGAATGTCGTAACATAAAATAAAAATTTCTGCTTAAAAAATATTGTTGGGACAATATGTTGTTTAGCGGACCGTTACATACAGATATGCCGTTCGGAAATTCGTGGTTTATGGTATGTTCGTAGGCTACTGAGCGCGAGGGACACAAATTATTAAAAATCTAGCAAAGCAATTCTAGTGACCCTCGGAGGAGGTAATGAGACCCGTGCAAGCAATAAACGAAAATCCTCAACTCAAAAATAACCGTTCCCGGTCGATCGTGCCATAAACCGTTTCTACAGAAAACCTAACACTTGGACATACTACAAAAAACATTATAAATCTCACAAGAAAAAGTACCCAGCAATTGAACTTGCACCAGCGGAAAATAATAAGGAAATTAACGAACTAAAAGTTCTGTGCAATATACTCGTCACTGTTGAAACACCCAGAATAAAAAGGGATATCCCACAATGTGTAATTATAAAGGCTAATTATAATGGCTGTATGGTGAGAAAGATGTTACAAGAAAAGTTACACCTACCACTAAGAAGTAGGCAACAGTACAACGCAAAAGCGGAACACATCACAACAGGAACATCAAATCCAACTATAACACCAAATAACCCACCACTCTCTATACGCTCCTACTCAAATGTAATCACTGGCACCAACACGGATATTCTAATAAACAAAACACAAAATCGAGTACAATCAAAAAGACAAGAAGAACTAACTCCTCAGTCATTCGTTCAACTAAACGAAATAGTAGACTTAATTAAACAACAATCACAACAGATTACACTAATGCTACAACTCCTAACAGAAAAAAAGCATCTGAAACAAAAGTAAATGCGAATAGTACACTGGAATTGTAACGGATTACAACAACGACTGCTAGAAATGAAAGAATTCATCTCGAGGAGCAAAGTTGATGTAATACTGATATCAGAAGCACATCAAACGGAAAAATCATACTTTAAAATACCACTATTTACATTACGGGACAATGCACCGAAGTGAAAGAGCCCACGGAGGAACTGGCATATTCATCAGGAGTTCACTTAAACACATCGTACTAGAACCGCTTCAAAACGAATAGCATTCAAACCACCTCCGTCAAAATTTACACCACGAAAAGAGCCGTAACAATCACTGGGATATGCTGCCCGCCCAATCATTCTCCGAATTCAGAGGAATGAGAAAATCTATTCAACACGCACTCTGAAAAATACCTAATAGCAGGTGACTTTAATGCAAAACACCCGCATTGGCGCTCCAGATTAATATCTACCAGAGGATCAACACTTTAAAACCAAATTACCAAAAGAAAAGAAAATATAATATTAACAGGAATACCAACATATTGGCCTACTGATCTCACTAAACAAACAGACCTATTAGACTTTGGTATAACAAACTTCAACATTTTAGAATTCACAGCTACTGGACATGACGTCTGATCACATACCCATACTCACAGACTTTACTGAAACTGGAGAAAAAACAACACGCATAAGCTTCACAAACTCTACCACAGACTGGAACAAATTCAAGCACCTACTGGAATCTAAAATAAAATGTAACATTTCCCTCAAAAAAGCAAGTAATATTGAGGAGGCAGCTATAGCACTTATCGTAAATATGCAAACTGCTACATTCGAGTCCACAACTTATGCTAACGGCATGAGCAAAACATTTCAATATACTAAATCCACAATACACAAAATTACATATAAAAGAAAAATTAGAAAATAGTGGCAAAGCTATCGTACACCTCATCTAAAAAGCGAATTGAACAAGATTACCAAGAAAATCAAACAATCAATCCAGTCCCATATAAACCAAGAATTTACTAAATACATACATGCTGAGACTAGACGCAACAGAGGCAACCCAATACTCACTATGAACAGCAACAAAAAAACATAAAAGACCAACGATGCAAATCCCACCAATAAGGAAATCAAACAACACATGGACCAAATCTATAGAAGAACAAGTTGAAGAATTTGCAACATATTTAGAATCAATATTTACCAATGACGGAGGACCGCCAACACCTCCTATAAACACAAATTCTACAATTTCCAACCTTAAAACTGTAGCAAATGAAGTCCATGACTTGATAAAAAAACTAAGAACGAAAAAGCTCCCGGGTACGACCTCATAACTGGAAAAGTCCTGAAAGAATTACTATCCAAATCTATTAGATTCGTCACAATCTTGTATAACGCTATTTTTAGATTATCTTATTTCACCTACTACTTGTCGCTTGTTTCTCCATCCACCGATTTCGATGAAATTATCAGCACGTATATAATTCACATAGATCTACAAAACGTATGTTTTAAATTTTCATCACAAGCCTAGATAAAAAAGTTGTAAACAGTGACCTTTACAATTTTCTTCGCGATTCCCACAAACTGAAATTTTTTCAAAATTTTTTGTGCACGTCATCTAGTAAACTAATCTTTCTAACTTCTCAAAAAAACTCAAGTCGTTTGGCCCAATTTAAAAAAAATTATTCCGTTTTATAGGGTGTCCAAATACTTATGGACGGTAGTGTATAAGTTCAACAACGACTCTTTACGAGACACTCCTTATACGACCGCAACAATAATCACGACAACAACCTTTGCAACAATCCCTTTTTCATTCGGCACCATCTCTGTTTATACCTACTTTTTCTTTCCACTCCTTCGCTTTCTCCCACTACACGCACAACTTTCGCACTCGCTCGTCACCCCTAGTACACATCCCCATTTTCGGTATTTCCCGAAATTACTGACACGTCGCGTCGGTGGGCCTCGCGCGTCACCGAGGCCCTCGCGAAAGGGTCTAGTTCGCGTCTCGGGTTCTGCTTTTTATTGTCCTTTGCCCCTTACGGCTGCTCGAGTAGGGCCGAGAATTTCCGATACTACATATTTTTCCAGATATTTACACGTTCTCATACATAGACAAATTATGATATAATAATCTAAAATATATCGTATTCTAAATTTGGACAGCATACACATTAATAATAATAAACATTTCAATTTTCAAGCTTAATTGCAGTGTTCCGTACCGAACATTTTCTTTACTCTAGTTTAGGAGTTCACCAGTTGTAAAACGGACCTGAAGGATTCCGCGGCCCATGGGATTAGCCGAGACGGTTAGAGACGCGTACCCTCGATAAACGCACAAACGAACGGCGTTTTCAAGACTCGTTTTTACCACCATTGTTCCGACTTCCTAATTATTAAGGTAGTACTTTCCTTCTCTCATGTCCGATCTTCTTTTTTTCCAGAATTTCTTAAACCCCAGACACCTCATCCTTCTACCACCACCTTTACCCTCTCTCCATCTACTCAAGAAACACCCTACGACCAATAATCGATTTTCTATATTCTCCCATTTTTTCACCTCCCAAATTTAACTCCGCCTTCAGTAACTTAGACGCATATCCTCTTCTGAATTTCGAGTCAATCTTGTTCCGAACGCCAACCAACCATCTATTCAATCAGTCCGAGCACTGAATGATCCATAGGGTTTTATATATATCATAACGTTCGAGATAAGGTACTCCGTGAGCGCTTCAGGCCTCATTAAAAATTATCCGACTATTTGCACTCGTGATCTAAGTCTGTAACACAACGCAAACCGACGCGAGTACACGACATGCAGATTACGTATCTTAGATTCGCACCAAAATTATAACATTCGCACGCGTTCGTCTCAATGGCAATATCTGTCGGCACTAAACAACGACTTAAAACAATTAATAAGTTATTGGATTAGGTGTGGGGAAGAGGGATGACGTAATACGAATAATCGAAATATGTACTCGTTTCCATAGCGATATAACAAATATAGACTGAATTCTTATTTTGATCCGATTCGCCTCGGTCTACCCTAGTTGCATTTTGTTTCTCTTAACTTGTTAATGACACTCAATAAGTATTTATGATATTATAATTAAATTTACTAACAGAAAAGGATTAGTTTTAAAATTTAAAACTTAAGAAAATTCATTCGAAGGAAAAAATAATTTAAAGAAAGATGTTATTTTTCTGTTACCTTTACTGCGTGTGGATCAACAGCGTATGTATCCAATTGCGATGCTAATCTAAGAAAGTGAGTTTCCGCTTGCTCTGGAGTGAATCCTTTTAATTCTGTTTGATGCAGTTCCATAGCTTTTTCTTCAATAGCCTCCGTCTGCTTAAGTAGTAATTTGTGCTCGGAAATATAGTTTCCTTCGTGAAGTTTGGGGTCATAATCCCCCAATTCACCTGAAATTGAAAATTACAATGAGTTATTGAGCTACGTAATTTAGGAAATTTATATGGATAATCAATAAAAAAAAGCTCATGTGACTAATATATAAAGTGGGACACTTGAAATTATCGGGTATACGATGAATCGATTAAAATTTTTCTTGATGGAGGTATTTCAGAGATTTGGAAGTAAAGAGGATTATAGTACGTTTGTTTATGAATACAACCATAATAGATTTTTGTAGACGAGGCTCAAGCAGTTTGCATAAAAAACAAAGTGATAATAAAAAAAAGGAAACACCGTACTTGTTAGGACAACATGTTGCCCTAAGTTTATGATACAGTCGACTAATTTGCTATTTTGGAGGATTCGAACATTTTATTTCCCTAACATGTATTTAACTTTACAATCAGAAAAAACGTCTAACGCTTAATTGGTTTATAAGTGTTTGGCCTCTTCTGCTCAATAACAATTGACGTATCGTAAGCTTATTCTTCTGACTAAGGACGAACGGGCACATGTATGTATAGTTGGGGCCACGATATAGCGAGGTCGTAAATTAAACTCGCGAGGTCGTCTGTTCGAGGGTTCCAACAATAAACGAATGGTAGCATATGATTTGGTACTTCAAGTAGAAAATGGTATTTCATTTACAAATGGAAAATATGTTAATATTAAGCTACACAATCTTTTTGCACTTTCTATCTGTATATAACACGAGTAGATAAACTAAGATGCTAAAGACATCAATAAGACCTTTACCTCTAACCGTACTTCCAAAAGCGGCTTCCCCCAGAGGGAGAAACCCTAATTTGTCCTAGCTGCATACAGTTTTCAGTAAGTATATTAGAATCAGTTGACTTTCGCTGGATACAAGAATTCTTCGTACGGTCCTGACAATGGTTTCAAGTACTTATCTGCTCGTATCTCTGTCAATTTTCGGGTCCCGGCAGCTAAAACATGTTTACTTTGACGCCTAACCGATTTTACGACCTCGCTATATCGTGGCCCCAACTATACACACTACACTATTTCCAATTTTCTTCTCGACGGATGCTAATCGAATCAGAATTTCATACACTAATACGTACAATTCATCGAATCCTCCACTGATAACGTACACACATTCTATTTTATCGTTAGGATCGAGTGAAACGAAATAAACGGTACAGAAAGTTAACTGGGAGTCCATTAGACTCGTCACTCTCGTGTCGTTTCCAACAGGATTCCGAAGAAAGTGGAACAATCAAGAGGAAAACTCAATTTAGTCGCAACCACAGGATATCAAGCATCCAGATCGACCTTTTTCCCTGCATCTCCAGCGATGTGCTTCCTGTGCACAGCCACTTAAACCTTCTTTCTCGAGTCCCCAATTAACCTTCCTCTCTGTAGGGTGTCCACCACTTTTACGCAACTTTCCCAAACGAATTAGTCGCTTCGATACAATCTCGTCGAGTTTACGTTGTCGAAGGGAAATCCTGTAACTGTATTTTCTATACTTTGCCTTCTCTCTTTTCTTTTTTTTGATACGAAGGTCATCTCTGCTTTTTATTTATTTCTTTATAGCAACCCCCAAGACGAACACAAAGGCCTATAATACAAGGTCAGTGAAGGTCACGGGGGCACGTGTGCCTCGATAAATCCTGACGTTGTTAAAAGAGCAATTATAAGTTTATACGATCAACCTTCTGCGACCTTGACTGATATTGTGTTACGAGTCTTTGTATTCGTCTTAAGGGCTGTTATTAGCAAATAAAATGTAGGCATTTTGGGACGGTTTATGGCTTGGCCTGCGCCTCTTGGCGAGTGACAAACACCAGACTCGAGTACCCATCGGTTCGGCCCAGGGATATATCTTCGCGATTCGACCAGAGTCCGTTCTTAGCTTAGCTTTAGCGTTCTTAGCACGACGTCCTGATTTGAGTGAAGTTCATTAGACCACCTCCTACAGAAGAAACAAGGATGATCCCTTTTTTAGCAGAGAATTTTCATTCGAAAAGTTTTTCCCTTACATTCGTGACTCCTAAAATATTCAAGATGGTAATTTTTATTGGTCACCCTGTGTAGTAGGTCCGCGTTAGCTGACCGTGGCTCGGAAGCACATCTGGTCAGCTATCGGGGGTAGTAGAGTTCTAGGGAATCCCGAGTATGTTTCTTTTCCATTGAATACCGGTGAAATATGAATACCATTTTCCGCAGCACTTTATTCTGGAAACGTTCAACTATTTCCATGTTATTATCCAGTCCCAAAGCTGGATACTCCAGGTCCAAATAGGTTTCAGGAGTTATTTATCTAGCAAGAAATTATTTTCTATCGAAAAAGAGGAATTTCTTTTTATCGTCTTGTACACTTTTTGCATTTTATATCGAGTTCTTTGTTCTTCCTCTTCACGTGGATTATTCTATGAAGTGTTGCATGAAGGATATGGATGCAAATCCAGGGGAACTTTGGAGATAATGACAAGTTTCTTCACTGCTCTGCTGGCCAATTAAAAGCATCCACTGATTGGTGAGCAATGAACCGGAACATGAGCTTTTGTATAAATAATACACCTCCTTTAAACCTTATGTCAATAACCGGCTACCCTTTAGCAGATTCTCGCTTAAAATATTTGATCTTGTAAAAGATTTTAACACTAGAACTACCAACCGGGTCAAAATGACTTATTAGCGACTTTGCAAAAGTGAATTTTTATGTATAGTTGGGGCCACGATATAGCGAGGTCGTAAATTAAACTCTGAAGAATCGGCATCGATTGATGTTGCGGCACTCAAGGCCGTGTGTTGCAGTCTGTTTGAGGGTTCCAACAATAAACTTTGGTACTTCAAGTAGAAAATGGTATTTCATTTACAAATGGAAAATATGTTAATATTAAGCTACACAATCTTTTTGCACTTTCTATCTGTATATAACACGAGTAGATAAACTAAGATGCTAAAGACATCAATAAGACCTTTACCTGTAACCGTACTTCCAAAAGGGGCTTCCCCCAGAGGGAGAAACCCTAATTTGTCCTAGCTGCATGCAGTTTTCAGTAAATATATTAGAATCAGTTGACTTTCGCTGGATACAAGAATTCTTCGTACGGTCCTGACAATGGTTTCAAGTACTTATCTGCTCGTATCTCTGTCAATTTTCGGGTCCCGGCAGCTAAAACATGTTTACTTTGACGTCTGATCGATTTTACGACCTCGCTATATCGTGGCCCCGACTATAAGTACTGTTGGGAGCTAGAAAGATGCCAGTCGAGCCGTTACAGGGACAAGGGGAAACTTGGTTCGTTCCGCCTATTCTCGCCTTGACTCTCTCGAAGCCCCGAAATATGACCCACGCTGACACAATAGTAGGATTCCAATATCCGCGAGGAATATGGAAATCCTACTAATACTATTGTTTCCACTTATGTCTCATGAAATTGAACATATTCTTAATATGCATAAGCATAAAAAGATAAATGTACTGACGTAAAGTTAGCAGGTTTTTAATACGTTTTGCCGTGTAATTAAAAAATAAAAATCTGCGCCTACCACAATGTTTCGCATTTCGGCACTCGCTATCGCTCTCAGCTCCCACTCAGTTCCGATGCGTCTTGATCACTTTCTTTGTTACGCGTTGTCTACAAGCGTCTAAGCAAATGTGACCCTTCGGCCAATTAGGGAAATACGTGTGTGTTGCCTTTATGTGTCTATGCGCGAAAGTAGATCTACTGTGTAATTGAGGTGACTTTGGACACTTAGGACAATACGTTATAGACTTTTGTAAATTTTTCCTTGCTTCCTGGCGTTCGAGAGTTCGCCTCTTTTTTGCGTAGCACCGAACGCACATCCTTCTTATAGATTTGCCCCACTTCGTGGCCAGACACTTTGTCATGAACCGAAGGTTCAACGATGACGTTAGGTCACCGACTGCTCACGGGGCTACATTTAAACAACGCATTGCATCGTATCGCTATTCCAGCTAATCGCGCTGTTTACACTCCGAATATCGGATTTGGGCCTCGGGAGAAACTCTACCGATTCACGCTGGGCGATCAACGTGTTAATACTTATTGAGTGATTAATTTCATTTCATAATATATCGCTGTCCTGTATCTGTACACATTGTCCGTCGAATGTGGAGGGAGAGACACCGTTTGGTGGACAGTCTGAGAATCGAGACACTGTTTGGTGGGCAATGTGAGAATCAAGACAAGTCTAGGGAAAAGGGTTACATTCGGATAATTTGTTAGAAGCTTGTAGCGAAGGTATATTTTGATAAAAATTACATATTTCAGCTCAGCAACATTTTTGGAAAAGTTTAAAAATTCTTTTCAATGGTTTTTTTTATTGTTCACAACTTTTCTATTATGTATTTATGTATTCACTACGCAATCACAATCCTGTAGAAAATTGTATATATTTGCAATAACCGAAAAGCGATTAAACAATTTTGCGCCCACCCTACTTTCGGTTCCAGATATTTCTGACGCAAGTAATCAAAAAATTATTTTGCTCAAAAATGCTCCCTCCGGAGCTATCACGTGAGACGGAGACCTCGAGACACCAGGCTCAACAGTTAGCTCTGACGAAATGGCGTTAACAGCTGATGCGCCTAGACAAGTGGCTAGGCAGGACCCACGGTGGACTCACCTACCGTTTGGCGCAGGTGCTCACTGGACACGGATGCTTCGGTGAGTACCCGTGACGAATCAAGAAGGAGGAGACGGCGCAGTACTACTACTGGGTGTTGCTGAGAAGATGACGAGCGGGACAATACAGTGGCAAGGGGAATAAGTCACTCGCTCTACCTTTGATGCTTACCGTCACGCGATGGATTAGCACCTAGATGTGACCGTTTCAGCCAATAATAAAAATGCGTGTGATTCTCCACGATTTTACAACTTTCCATAAAACGAAATGACCTAATGTGGCACTTCGTTGAATTTATCTCAATGAACGCTACCACATTATAAATTTAAAAATACAGGGTTTCATTTAAAAAAAGTAACTTGACTTTGGTATCTCCCCCACTACT